TTCAGCGATTAAGATGAATGTTTTTCCTAGAATGATGTTTTTGTTTCAGACAATACCTGTTTTGACAATGGATGCGCCATTTAAACAGTGACAGAAGGATACATCTAAATTTGTGTGGCAGGGGAAAAAAACCACAAGTTAAATATAAGGTGTTACAAGATGCAAAGGAAAGAGGAAGATTCAGCTTACCTGATTTGAAACTGTATTTTGCAGCTTGCTGTTTGATTTGGATGAATGAGGATGTGGCTGAGAAACAGAAGGCTCTTGGAATTAGAAGAACATGATCTGAGATTTGGGTGGCATGGATATTTGTGGTATGACAAAATCAAGGTTAATGTGCATTTTAAAAATCTTTATGTTAGATGTGCCATGCTGAGAATATGGAATAGATACAAACCCAGGTTGTGTCTGAAACACCTTTGTGGCTCTCAGCACAAGAAGCGTTTTATAGATGAGAAATAATAGGCAAACACAAATGGCTAACTTACTAGATACTAGAATTTTGTCAAGGGGAATGCAAAATAAAATCAAGAGAAGAACTGGTGGCAGAGAGATATAGTTGTCAATGTTTTTCTTATTTACAATTATTAGAAAGATTTAAAGTACATAAAAGAATTTATGGTTTTGAACAATGTAAGACCGAGTTTGAAATAGTATTGTGTACAAATGATGAAATTTGAAACAGAAGAACAAGTGAAAGAATGGATGATAAAGTGGGCTAAAATTTTTGGATAGAATATACAGATGGGAAAATATGTGATTGAAAGGATTGAAATTTATATTGTTATAATCTTAAAGAGAATTTTTATAAAATGATGTACTGTTAGTATATGTCACTAGAGAAACTGTCAAGAATGTATAAAGGCACTTCAAATTTATGCTGGAAATGTGAACAACAAGAAGGGACATTTTATCATGTTTGGTGGATATGAAGGGACATTTTATCATGTTTGGTGGATATGAAGGGACATTTTATCATGTTTGGTGGATATGTAAAAAAGCTAGAAAATTCTGGATTCAAATACATACACTGATTCAGAGGATTTTAAGGATTAATATACAATTGAAACCAGAGCTTTTTCTTTTGGGAGTGATGGCCAAACAGTTGGAAAAAACTCATGGAACTTTGTTTTTGTATGCACAAAGATGGAAAGATACCCACAATGGAGGAATGGTTGGTGAAGATGGTGGAACTTGCTGAGATGGCCAAATTTACTTCTTTGATCAGAGAAAAGACAATATCTACATTTATTGCTGACTGGAAACCCCTTAAGAACTTTTTGCATGAAACAGAAAAAAGATGATGGCTGGTGTGGGTCTTCCGGGCTGTGTGGCTGTGTTCTTGAAGTTTTGTTTCCTAA